ACTTGGTGTTGACGACATTCCCATCTTCCCCCTCCTCTTCGTCTATCCCCTTCCTCTTCGTCTGTGTATGGTATGGGCTGGCGCAGTCTTCCTGTATGAAGCGCCAGGCCCATTTCACACCATGTAACGATGATGATGATGATGTTCAGGGCTGCATATCARCATTGATTGTTCGGATCACTGGTATCTAAGTCTTCCGTTGTGCTATCTTATACTTTGTATTGAAAGGTCGGTTCTTGTTCTGGTCTGCACGTTTCAGTATGCAACATAGAGCTCTTCCTCACCAAATTATGAATTTACTGTCAAATTAGCCAAATTACCAAGAAATAGTTGCAAGACAGGAGTCGGAAATCGATGTATTTTGAAAGGACGATAACTGCAGCTATGTGGGGATGGAATGGAATGAAACAGCCTCCATCCTCTGGAGGGTCCTGTTCACCGAATGTGGTAGAATCCGTCCGATCTACACAGGAAGGGACGCTGCTTAGCCATGTACAGGGAACGAGACTGTAGAGCTTGCGAGTGCACATCCACATACTCCTCCTGATTGATCGGCCAGAGCGAATGAGATTCTACCGCCTGGTGATAGGAAGAGTTAATATTTCCCACTGTGTGCACCCTACCCCCATTGTCCCATAGGGTCCATGAATTATGTGCAAAGGTAAGAGCACTGAAATAACCTGCACGATGCAAGATGTACACACAAATAATCGGTCCATGTCTGGCATGTCATTCTGTGGGGCAGGCTGGAGGTGTAATCGTCTACCTTTATATGTCATACACAAGACTTCTATGTTCACGCCAGGTTCAGTACTGTCATCCTCTGGGCAGACAGCATGGTGCTCTTCTTCTATCCAGTTGACAATGTCCGCAAATGTGTGTGCGCTTGTGTTTTTGGATTTCACTACAACAGCCCCTATTCCACGAAGGAAGTGGAGTGGCAAAGGACAGAACAGAGATATCACAAACTTCACAGGGTTCTACGTACTCACCGCTGGAGCAGACTACTGTAGAATGGCACAAGAGGCCAGTGCAAGGAAAATGAGCGATAGTGAATTCCAGAAACCAAGCAGCATCATACACAGGAAACCAGATAGTCTTGACCTCGAACCAAAAGCAGAATTGCAACTCGAGTTCCACCAAATAAGAGCACAGCAAAAGCTCACAAGTGACAATGTTGGAATAGTCTCATCATCATCAACAATGAACCAATGTCGAATCCCTATCTGGCGCTCAGCGCACAGACTACGAATGGCAGATCCTATCTAGCCTATCTACAATGCCGCTGGTGACGTCAACAGCTTCCCGAAGTACAAGCAGATCTCGGCCAATGCCGTTCGCCTCAAGCACCAGGTATGTCTCACGCTTCACTCACAACCTTGATCCCCCACACAGATGCCACGTGCACCGAAGGACTACCATGCGCCCCATCCAGCAATGCGCAGGCCAGCTTGGCTATGGCTGCCTGCTTCTTCCTGCTCGTCCGTGAGCGCGTAGGCACTCTCTCCAGCAGCACTTGCACATAAGCAGCGAGTGCCCGAATGTCAAATGCGGAGGCGGGCACTTTCCTTTACGGAAGTGGCCTGCCTGCTGCGTGCTGCCTGGCTACACTGGGCCCCTGCCCAGAAGGTTCCGGTAGGCCCCAAGTGCTTGAGGCCAGAGTATCCGCAGGGCCCGGGTGGTTGCGCCTGTCCAACTGCCAAGTGTGCTGCGTGCAGTTGTGCCGCATGTCTGCCCCAGGGCCTGTGCCCAAAAACATAGGAAGGGCCTGAAGCCCTTGACTGGATACTGTTGTCCACGGCCTGGGTTCATTCAACCATTTGACGCAGCATAACTGTCTGAGCCGCCTTCACTTAGGGCGGCCATCCTTGCTGAGAGGCCCAGGATGCTCAGGGGGGGCTGTGGCCTCGCACCAGTCTGTCAGTGTATGGGTTGCAGAAGATTTTGAGTTGAGGAGCAGCCATTGCCTAGGTACATGGCCAACCCTACAGACCGTACAAGATCAGGTCGGGTGTGGACTGTGGAAGCACTGAATCCAATTCTCACAGTCGCAGTTGCTGCATTGAATGGCACGGTGTAGACAGATGCCACAGGCTACGTGGCTCCTACATGCTAGGAACACAGCAGAGACATGCCAACCGCAATTGTAGAGGCATTGTCGTTCCAGCCCCTGTCTACAAATTGGACGACATGTCAGGGTGCTGTACATGAGTGCAGTATTGGCTGTCATCATACGCACGGAAACAAGAACTCACATGAACTATCCCTTCATAATCCTCACGGCATAAAGGATGTGAACCACATGCTAGCCAAATCTCAGGTGGGTTGGTATTCAGTGTAATATCCATGAAAACATACTACAATAATGGGTTGGGAGTCGGGATGTGCCGATTGTTGATGATATCCCACTTGCTGTCACTCTCAATGATAGGAAAAAACAAAACAAGACAGTTAACAAGGCAAGAAGGTGCTGGCACGGCAATGCAACCAGCAAGGCAGAAAGGCAAGCGGGCAACCAGGCCACCAAACAGGCAGACAGGAGGCACGAGGGAGGGAAGCAAGGTGGACACCAGGACAACACAGTATATAAAGAAAGCAGGCAAGCGCTCTTCAAGGCAAGCAGCAAGGCGAAACCGCAAACGCTCTTCAAGGCAAGCAGCAAGGCAAAACCGCAAGCGGACAGGTGGTAAAGCCAGCGACTAGGGAAGAAAGCAAGCAGGCAGACAGATGGTGAGGCAAGCAGACGGGAAGCACAGCGAACAGCACGGCACTACGACATAAGGGAAGCAGAGCAGCAGTCATCAAGGTCAGCAGCAGGGCAATCAGACTCACAGCAAGCAGGCGAGCATGCGTCCAAGCAAGCAGCAAACACGGATTAGCAACAAGCCAGAAATCAACCTAGCAGCCATATGTCCTTCTCATGGCAACCGGCCGGACGTCTGGACCGGAATCCAGACGGTCCGGTTGTCTGGGTATGGGTCCGGTGTCTGCTCCGGTAGGTCTGGATTGGGCCCAATTTTGAAAAATTCGAATTTTTTTTTTGGGGGGCCTAGTGCGTAGTTCGGGTCCTAGGCCGCCCCAAAAAAATGCCCCCGGTATTTTTTGGCCATTTCAGGGCCAACCGGACGCCGTTAGACGCTTCCAACAGCTCCCGCTGCTGTTGTACTACACTGGTAGTTCATCGGATGAGGATGAGTCTGATTCCAAAAATGAGGCGCTGGCTGCAAAGTGCCAAAGAACATCAAGCTAGAGAGAGAGAGAGAGAGAGAGAGAGAGAGAGAGAGAGAGAGAGAGAGAGAGAGAGAGAGAAGATTTTGGTCAGATATGAGATCCCGTCTTAGATCTGGACCTGACCAGATCTTAGATCTGTTCGTAGTACTTCTTACGCAGATCTGAATAACTTACCAGTTTAAATTTTAAATTTTCATACGAATATGAATTAGAAAGTCTAACTTCAAAGTTCAAAGTTCTGTTTTTTTCTGATTTTCGCACTCTTTTTCTGAAGTGACTTGGGATTGGTCTGTTGAGAACTGGTTTCAAGTGTTGTGTGAGCCTTTGTGAATGTCTGTGACAGTATGAAGCTGTCAAGTTGTGAATACTGAAAGACAGTTAGCCGTGGTTAGTACTGCTTATTACTAAGGGTTTTTTTTTGTTTTTGTTTTTTTTCCCGGTCTGGACATTTTTTTGTGTCTGGTGTACCGGTCCGGACGGTCCGGGTCCTGTCCTGTCCGGTTGTCCGGTGCCTGTCCAGATTACCGGACGTCTGGACCAGTCCAGACAAATGTCTGGTCCTCGGTCCAGACATGTCCGGGTCCGGGTCCGCGGTTGCCATGGTCCTTCTGGACATCCGTTAAAATTGGAACGATAAAGAGAAGATTAGCATGGCCCTGCGCAAAAAAAAAAAAAAAAAAAAAAAAAAAAAA